CCTGCGGCCCAGGGCCCGAGCTGCGTGTGGAGGCAAACTGGCTCAGGGGCAGGGAAAAACTGTATGCGCGGCTGCACTGGCATCGGTGGTTCTGTTTCCTACGCCCAGGGAGGAAGGGGGGAGGGGGAGGAAGGAGGGAGGGAGGCAGAAGAGGGGAGAGGAGGCAAAAAGGAACTGGAGGAGAAAGAGGAGGACTACAGCTACAGTTACACCCTCCTCCTCCTCTTCCTCCTCCTCCTCTTCCTCCTCCTCCTCCTCCTCCTCCTCCTCCTCCACCTCCTCCTCCTCCTCCTCCTCCTCTTCCTCCTCTTCCTCATCCTCCTCCTCCCTCCTCTCCTCCTCCCTCCGCCTCCTCCTCCTCCTCATCATCATCCTCATCCCTCCCTCATCATCATCATCATCATCATCATCATCATCATCATCATCATCATCATCATCATCATCATCATCATCATCATCATCATCATCATCATGGCAGCGCCTTTAAGGATTCCGATGCCTACAGCTCCAGCTGCAGCAGGTGGATGGGCGCGGCGGAGGGCGGGCAGGGCCCACGACGAAGCGAGCGGTCTCATAACGGCCCGCCTTTTTGCGAAGGAAGCGCGCGTTTCGCCCGCCCGTGCGCCGCGGGCACGTGACCACAGCCAGTGAGCACAGGCTCTGGTATGGAACAGAGAAAAGTGACCAAGCAGCTGTGCAGGAGCAAGCCCTGCGAATGCAGAACAAGCGTACGTATGGCGATAAAACCGGTACGAGAACTTGCGATTGAGGCGGTCAAACCAAACATGAAGAAGTGGCGCAAACATCCACACGCTTCAGATGAGCAGTCATCCACATCATTGCAAGACTGACAGATGTTTTGACGACATTCAATCATCCATGGAACGTGTGCAGCACTGTGTAAGACATGTTGCTTGCCATGACGTCATCACTTCACGTGTTTGAATCGCACATTTACCGAAGCAGCGTCCCGCGCCCACACCCTGTCTCAAAGCAACGTCATCGACGCCCTCAGAACGGCACATACAAGCACACTGGCATGATTGACTGCTTGATTGCGACCGTACCTTGGCATGGGCGCTCGGCCGCAACTCTTTCGCTCGCTCGCTCGGCCGTGCATCCGGTGGGACGCATTGGCAAACGCAGGTTGCGACGTTGGCAACCGAACGGAAAACATGAACTGCAAGTGTACAATGGGTGCTGCAAAACTAAGAAGGGGGAGGGGAGGGAGGAAGGCGAGATTGCCTCAGACCGTACACTGAAGAAGCCCACTGCTGTCGAGGCCGGCCTCGTCGTCGATGTAGCGCCCAACACTTTGGTGACCCATCTGGCTCGCGTACATCTTGTCGCACCAAGGAGGGATGCCCACTTCTGGAAATCTTGAGGTACGCCTTCTCCTGCCTGTCCAGAAGAACATCCGACAGGGGGTTCGCGCCAGCTCTCTTCAGAATGTCTGCGTTGCTAACTCTCGAGATGAAAGAAGGAGGTACGCCGACAATGCGTCGTAGACACCTGCGAAATCAAGTGGAACTGCAACACTCACCAAAAATGCAAAGGCACCATTTCCCAAACTCATCAAACATGTATTTGCCGTGTTGGGGGCGTGGCTGGCGGGAATGCTGGCGTTGGCCATCAAGGGGCCACAAAACCTACCCAAAACGCGTCCTAGAGAAGGGGGTCCACTGGTGGACGCAAGCCCATCCAAGCTGTACGCTGTTCACACATGGAGAACGCTTGATGAACTGAAGAGTTATAATATACCATAACTTGGCATGAAGGGCGGATGCGACTGCACACATAGCTTCTGGAAGGCCCCGCTGTCCAAAAAGGTATCCGCCCTACGTTTCGGGCTCCAGACTTATCATATCACTGGCCTTAGGGCGCATGGCGCGAGAGGACGTGGCCGGACGCGCACCGCCCGTGTCGAACCGGGCTTCCGCAAGTCCCTCGGAGGACCTCGGCACGAAGGGAAGCACACCGCCCACCCCCGAGAGCAGCCCCCCCCTTTCCGTCTCCCGGCGCAGGAGCCGCGCCCTCGCCCCCGGCAGGTGGGAGGACAGGGAGGGGGAGGGGGAGGGGGGAGGGAGGAGCAGTGGCGAGCAGCCGCAAGGAGGACGGGGAAGGGCAAGAGAGGGAGGCAAGGTATGGTAAGCATGGCATGGGTCTGCCCAAGGAAGCGGGCGAGGTAGAGGCTCAACTACCAAAACTCAGGCTCCGACTCGTGACCTTCGACGCAGTCGTCGCCATGTTGTCTTTCGATGACCCGGTGCCAAGAAGGAGGAGGAGGAGGAGGAGGAGATAGGAGAGGGACGACGAGGTGTAGGGAGAGGGGAGAAGGCAGAAGGGGAAGGAGGAGGAGGAGGAGCGGGAGGAGGAGGAGGGGGGAGGGATGAGGGTGACCTCGTCGCGGGAGAACATCCAAGGGGGCTCCCTGGCGAACTGGTGCTTGTACACGACCGTGTTCTCACGTTCGGTCTGCTGGCGATTGTAGGCCTCGGTCCTGGGCAGCCCCAACCCTGCTGCGACGCTGCACTGCCCACGCTGGCCATGACCCTTGTCAAAATCCCAATCCTTACCTCCATCCCCATCTCTTCTTCCTCATCTTCCTCCTCCTCCTCCTCCTCCTCATCATCATCATCATCATCAGCAGCAGCAACTGCATCGAAATCATCATCAACATCACCATCATCAGCACCATCAGCCTCATCATCATCAGCAGCAGCATCATCATCGTCATCATGATCATCACCAGCATCATCATCACCATTACCATCACCTCACCATCACCATCACCATCACCATCACCATCACCATCCTCCTCATCAGCATGATCAGCATCAGTGTCGTCATCATCATAAGCATCAGCATCAGAATCAGCATCAGCACCAGCACCAGCATCATCATCGTCCGAATCAGCATCATAATCCTCCTCACCAGCATCATCGTCAGCAGCTTCAGCAGCATCATCATCAGCATAATCACCATCATAGTCAGCGTATTCGTCATCTTCCTCATCAGCATCATCATCATACCACACTCATCATCATCGTCATCATCCTCTTCCTCAGCCTCAGCATCACCATCATCATTGGCAGCAGCATCAGCATCATCATAATCACCATCATCAGCATCATCATCCTCATCATCCTCATCATCATCAGCATCATCATGATCCTCGTCGTCGTCAAAATCGTGGTCGTCGTCGCCACCGTCGTCGCCGTCATCACCATCTCAATCATCACCATCACCATCACCATCATCATCAACATCATTATCATCAGCATCATCGTCATAACGGTCACCGCTATCATCAACAACAACGACAGCAGCATCGTCATAGTCATCAGCATTAGCAGCAGAAGCATCATCACAATCACCATCACCATCATCATAATCAGCATCATCATCACCATCACCATCATCACTATCACGATCGTCATCATCACCGGCATTATCATCATCAGCAGCATCATCATCAGCATCTGCATCGGCATCGCCCTCATCATCAGAATCGTCATCACCATCAACAGCAGCATCATCATTGTATCCCCCACATCATCATGGTCAGCATCATCATCATCAGCATCAGCATCAGCATCCTCATCATCATCGTCAGCATCATCATGATCATCATCAGCATCAGCATCACCATCACCATCCTCCTCATCAGCATGATCAGCATCAGCGTCGTCATCATCATAAGCATCAGCATCATAATCAGCATCAGCACCAGCACCAGCATCATCATCGTCCGAATCAGCATCATAATCATCCTCATCAGCATCATCGTCAGCAGCTTCAGCAGCATCATCATCAGCAGCAGAATCACCATCATAGTCAGCGTATTCGTCATCTTCCTCATCAGCATCATCATCATACCACACTCATCATCATCGTCATCATACTCTTCCTCAGCCTCATCATCACCATCATCATTGGCAGCAACATCAGCATCATCAGAACCACCATCATCATCAGCATCATCATCATCCTCATCATCATCATCAGCATCGTCATGATCCTCGTCGTCGTCAAAATCGTGGTCGTCGTCGCCACCGTCGTCGCCGTCATCACCATCTCAATCATCACCATCACCATCACCATCACCATCACCATCACTATCATCATCATCATCAACATCATCATCATCAGCATCATCATCGTCATAACGGTCACCGCTATCATCAACAACAACGCCAGCAGCATCGTCATAGTCATCAGCATTAGCAGCAGAAGCATCATCGCAATCACCATCACCATCGTCATCATCAGCAGCATCACCATCACCATCATCACTATCACGATCGTCATCATCACCAGTATCATCGTCATCATCAGCAGCAGCATCATCAGAATCTGCATCAGCGTCACCATCATCAACATTATCATCATCATCATCAGCATCATCATCATCATCATCATCATCATCATCAGAATCGTCATCACCATCAACAGCAGCATCATCATTGTCTTCCCCACATCATCATCATCATCAGCAGCATCAGCATCAGCAACAGCATCAGCATCCTCATCATCATCGTCAGCATCAGCATCATCATCAGCATCAGCATCAGCATCAGCATCAGCATCAGCATCAGCATCAGCATCAGCATCATCGTCGTCACCAGCAACATCATAATGAACATGTTCATGTTCCTATTCCTCCAACCACATGCAGTAGGAGCAATCGAGAAAACTGCCATGACCATAGAGGCTGCGGATCAGACTATTAGTTACGAAAGCACCACAGGCGCCCAGATGGGCTTCACGACAGCACCACGACAGTTCAACGATGCTTACAACATATACGTTGCCCAGTGGAACGAAGACCTGCGCACGGAACCGACACAACGATTGCACGACACACCCCACCCGATATTTGGTAGTATACAGGACCTCGGAATTAACACGTTCATGGATGACATCACTAAGACGCATATAATCCCACATCAGGCTAATGCAGGTGAAGTCACCTACCAGGTCAACACAGCCACAGGGAAACTAGAAAGCAAGCTGGAGGCTGGGAACTGGAAACTTAATGCGGGGAAGACCAACCACCTCCTGGGACTACGAGGCACAGGGAGCTACGGTACCACAAGAGCCCTAAGACGTAGCAAGCAAATCCAAGGCACACCACTCCGAGAAATGCGAGTGCTAGGACCATACCTCCCATCCGACCAAGGCCTATCGGGAGAAGTGCGTCGCCGCTGCGACGCGATACGCCTAGCATGGAGACAGGGTGTCACTTTTTGGGGTTCACGGTGCAATTACGACGTTAAACGCCTCATGTTTATCGCATTTGTACTGGGTGCAGGGCTAAGCGGACTCACGGCCATGGTACTTCCAACAGCCAGCACTGATGCCATCGACGCCCTGCTAGGAAAATATATGATGACACTGGCACGAGGAGCGATGTCATGGACCAAAGCAGATGGCAGCATTCGCTGTAAAACCACGGCGCAGGTATTCAAATACTGGAGAATGGACCGAGCTGCCACGGCACTACGTGTGCGACGACTCAAGTGGTACCAGAAGTGGGCACTACACCCCCAACAACATGCGAACGTGGTTGCAGCTATATTCGGGGACAGCACTATGGACAGACTAGCCAACATTCGACGCCTGTTACCAGGCGATAGGATAGGGCCAGACTCCACACCCATGGCGAAACAATACAAGGAGGACCTCGATGCGCTATCACTTATCGACGAGAATATGCACGAATGGTACACACGCAGGCGGTCAGACCTACACATTCTTACACCTGGCACGGAAGAATGGCAACAATGGACGACAATGGACCCCAGCATACTCAGCAGTGCCTCCAGGACCTGGAACAACCAAGCAGGAGACATTGATGAAGGCAGAGCAGACGACCAAATAGCGAAGGCCTACTGGTGCGACTACCCATGTGAAGACGACGACGGACAAACACAATGCTGTGGGAAACGCTTCACGACAGCACAGGCATTACAGGCTCACAAAAGGGGGGCGCACAACTTGAGGACTTTACTATCGCAGATGATTATTACCTATCAATGCCCTTGGTGTTGGAGCACATTCAATACAAGAAAAACGGCAATTGATCATGCACACCGCTCGGCTGACAAGTACGGAGTGTGTCACATTGACTACAGCAAATGGGCGCACGAAGTACAGGCCCCACCAACACTAACATGCAGCTTATGTGACCATGAGGCTCAAACCCTCCGCTCCTTTCAGTTGCACGTGAGAGAACATCACGAAGGCCCAGCAGACGTTGTACAGCGCACGTGCGATGGCCCTCCCTGCAGCAGAGTGGCAGCTCGCAGGGGCAGAGCCCAAGCGGGTAGCTGCCAAGAGAGGCGCCGCCGAAGCCGCAGTCGACGGAGGCAGCGGGACGAGCAGCGGCGGAGGCGGCAGGCGCCCTCCCAAAGGTTCTGGCAAGGGAGCAGAACCGTCCGACGGCAGCTACGAGGACAGGCTGGCGGTGACGATGAAGCTCTCGCTGCGCAACGCGCAGGACATTCGCGAGCTCTACCACACCACCTCGGACTTCTGGCTCCTGCCAGCATCGTCGCCCCCGTTCATCGCGGGCATGGAGGCCGCCAAGCAGTATGGACAAGCAGTACGCGCAGCAGGCAAGAAACACGGTCTCGGACCCCCCCACGTCCACATCTGCAGCGCCATGCTCAGGGAGATGTACGAAGCGCTGGACGGCGACACAGGGAGCACCACCGAGAAGACAGCCAAGGGCGTCATCCGCGAGTACATCGAGGCGACGACGGGCAAGATTGGACCACAGATCATACAAGAAACAGTGCTCTCCTGGAAAGTCAACGAGGCCTACAAGCGCGACGACCTGGACGAGTCCGAGCACAAAGGCAAACTGCAGTACACGCTCAACCCGCTCCCGACCCTCGTGCCGCACCTGATGTCACAGGAGCCAGGCGAGGCGGTCCTGACCATGGCGAGGGGCTACTCGCCGACGAAGCTCAAGGAGGCCTTGACGACGGCGATCCTGGTGCTGAACGGCGTCAAGGGGCAGGGAGCGGCGCCCAAGAGCGCCCTGGAGAGGGCGGTCGAGGCGAGCCTACGCAGGCGCTGAGGTCGGGTACAGATCACTACCGGAGCTCGACGGCACCAGCCGTCCCAACGACGGTAGGCCTCGGTACGTCCCCACCTCTGGCCTCGCCTCCGTGGCCTCCTCAGCGAGCGGAGGAAAAAATTGCCCACGAGATTTCTCTCGACCCAGCACGTTTTGGGAAGCTCACACAACAGCGTGCAGTTAGTGAACGGTTTAATGAATTATACAGACTCGCATTGTCATACAGGGCGAGGAGAAGGAGAATGATGCAAGGTTTGGGCCTAGAGGAGCCTCAGCACCCCGAGAGACCCACAGGGAGCTCAAGCAGTAAGGAGGCCCACGACACGACCGAGCCATCATCACAGCAGCCACATCATAAAGGACCCGACGAGACCCAGTAACCTCCAGAGGCCCCCCTTGGGCAGGGATCCTAC